TTATTAAAGCCTAGGGACTCAGCTCTTCAAGGGACCTGATGCAGAAGGCAACATGTCGGATAGCCTGCAAACAGGCATTTACTCACGTGGGCCTAGTATGTGAGACTTCGTTCGCCCACGGACAAAGCTTTCTTATTGGAGAATTATGATCACATGGGAACATGCTTGACATGAAGTATGAGGTCTGTGTTTATTACCGATGTCAGCAAAAATTTGTTGATGTTGACTTATAATAGTAATTGAACTGAGTGGAGCGCAATTTGGACTGAAATCACACGCTTGATTAAAAAATCACATATTTGTAATCACAAGTTTGATTTCAGTCCAAAATTGCACGACACGAAGTTCAATTTCCACTTTATTATATTCATTTTGAAATCTTAAACATCTTTGTATTAAAACTGGAAAGATTTTTTTTGGAAAAGACACACCTTCGGTACTTCCCTGAGTGCTGTAGCATAGCAACAATAAGCAAACAAGATGATTAAATTATATGTTTATATACGCTACAAATACTGCAAAATTGTTAAAGAAATGAAGACATTTATAAAGAATAAGAGACAACACAAGCAAGTTTAAACATATTGTAGGTTTTACGAGTGATTTGAAAGAGTTTTGGTGCAGTTTTGTCAGTATAAAACTGGACATACGATAGGTGAATTTACCTTTGACACTTTGTTTTCTCCCATGCTTTAAATTTAATTGCTTTTGTTGGCGATTTGATTGCTTTTGTATTGATTATGTTCTTAAATTGCTTGTTACTATTTGTAAAATTTGAAAATTCTTACCAATTCTTTGATAGTTTACTGCAGCTATATATCCATATTTGTTTGTTTTTTGTACAAAAAAATTGCCTAACTCATTCATGACATATGTAAATTTTTTGTTTTTGCTCATTTTTCCCCGAGGGGGGAAATCCTCAGTGTATCCCAAATAAATTTTAGTTTCAGCATGGATTGTAAAATAAGAAAGAACTGGATAGGAAACTTCCTGACGTCATTGACCCATCCTTGATGAAAAACGTGACGTCACACGTATTGCCAATATTGCCAAAGTTCTCAGGTTTTTTGTTGTTTCGCTATATTATCCGCTTTGAATATTGAAGCATAAACTGGTCTAATTGTTTTAAAAACATGCCTAAGCCACGACAAAGTATTCAAGGAAAATGTTTTTCGTCTTTGTTTTGTACTTTTATACATTTGTAGCTACGAAATTGGCGTTCATTTTACTTGTAAATTTGTTTCGTTAGGAAGTTTCCTATCCAGTTATTTCTTATTTTACAATCCATGCTGAAACTAAAATTTATTTGGGAAACACTGAGGATTCCCCCTCCTCTGGGGGAAATGAGCAAAAACAAAAAAATTACATGTGTCATGAATGATTTAGGCAATTTTTTTGCACAAAAAGAACAAACAAATATGGATATATAGCTACAGTAAACTATGAAAGAATTGGAAAGAATTTTCAAATTTACTAGTTTGATTCAAGTATATTTTATTATCCATGGTTTCAGGTTACATATTAGCAGGTCTGGTGATAGCAATTTTCTAAATAAAATATATCTGATTTACTTCAGGGAGCCATTCAAAAAGGATGTCCGAGCAGAGGGGGGGGGGAGGGGGTTAGGAAAATCAGGACAATCTCGCACATAGGGGGGAGGGGGGATTTTAGCAATCTTAATGTCCGAAATTTAAAAAAATCAAAAATAAATTTCGTTTTCCACTATTTTAAACTCTCCCTACAATTGTGAAATTGGCATTTTGACTACGCGGTTAATACTAGATTTTTTTAATTACTAATTTATATGTTTTTGTATTCACATTTATAGTTATAAAAAAGTTCTAAAAGTAAAAAAAAGTTTTTTACTCTTGACATATACAAGGTTGCGTGAGTTTTTGCGAGACATGGCGGATGTGCGGAGTGAGGTCACTAATATGGACAATGCCGGACAAGGGGGGACTGAAAATCCATCATTTGGCCGGACATCCTTTGTGAATGGACCCTTGTTGAATCATTGTGGTGCTTTGTAAATCTTTAGTGTTTTGTCATATGTGTTGCTTAATTGAATGCAGCACTCTTTCACAGAATTTGTGCATTGCAAGCAGAAAAAGTATTTGAGATGGAGGCAAAGGGGTGGAAACTAAAAATACCTGGCACTGGGGGGTTGGTGGGGGCAAAGGGGGGGGGGATTTGATCAATCAGTTTGTCCCGTGGATCGGGATTTGGACTGACACTTTATTCTGAGAGTGGCCCGAGGGTGGGGATTTTTGACAGATTAACACTGATCGATCTCAACGATATACTTAAGAAACCTGAGCCGACTTTTGAACAAACTTAAGACTGGGCATTAGTTCATCGCTCGCCGTCTCGCGATACAATCCCGTACCCAGAGTATGCCCGTTTGCAGGTTAGCTAACCTACGAACGGGCAGACTCTGGGTACGGGATTGTCTCGCGCGTTGTTGTTGCGTTGTGACAAGAAATAAACACTTAATAAGACATTTTATATATCATTAATATGGATTTATACTTATATGTTAAAAGTTCACATTATGTTATTTTGAAATGTTCATTATATTTGTAATACTTTTAAATTATACCGCCGAAAGTTTTCTTGTCATTTCCCTATCACCTGATTTATGATAAGAGTGCACCAGAAACCAAATACTTCATGAATACAATTTTATCTCGGGGTGGGGAATTTTTCCCAGAAATTTTGTCCCGAGGGAGTGGCATTTGACATTTTGTATGTTAAAATGTCAAATCCCCACCCTTTTCCCAACCACTGCCACCCCCACCCACGGCGTTAACATTGAAGAGTGCATTAAAATTGATTGGCTGTCTCAATTACTCCTATGATTAAATATGATTGGTTGGCTGAAGTCAGCACTCTAATGTGATTGATTGATTGAATGATTGATTGATTGAAAGAAGGTGGGATTTCAGCATGAATGGCACTGCTAGGAGTGCGATTCGTGCTGAAATCGCACTCCTCAGTGAACCAATCAGATTGCATGAAACACCATTGATTTCAAAATAAATATAATAAATAGATCTATGAATATAGTCAAACACCCTCGCAAAGTGAAATAGCTTCTGGCAGCAGAGTACACGTGAGAGTCAAGTTAATTTTTGGGCCAATTTAATTAATGGGGCAAATATTTTGGATGTACTACATGTCAGATTTAATTAGTTAAGAAGCTAGTTCACCTGAAGAATGCCATCAATGTGTTAAAAATCCATTAAACCTCAGAGAGGTCATTGTGGAATTCCATAGACTGGAGTGGATGATTTTATTTACGGTCTGTAAATAAAATAGTCTTAAAATGATTTTTTATGTATGTATACAGGGTGTATCTAAAAAGCGCAATCCTCGTCTGAAATGTAAATTGCTAAACAAATAATAGAAGAAAACGTTAAAGTTTACATTCATTTTAAAGCGTAGCCATTCAGCTTTCTAGCAGTGGGTTGTTTCTTAAATTTGACTCATTGGTTCGCGGGTAATAATACTTTACGTTATTGCGATTGGAGATTAAAAAAATTGAGATGGAATAACAAATCGTTCTCGTGAAAATAACTGATTTTTTTATTAAAACAAAAAGATGTTGCATTTTATTAAATGGATTGTAACAATAAGTATAATTACGGCTTTTCTTCCACTATTTTTAATTTAGTTTGAAACTTCAAATGCGATATAATTTTGGCTTGGACCATCTAAGTTGACTGACATCATCAGCTTGCTATAATTTCTGTTTACATTACATCGTAATTCGATGACACTCTGGCTCAGACACCAGAATGTTTTGATTCTATGATTTTTAGCATTCGTTTAGGATTTTCAAACAACCTGGTCTCTTTTAAAATACTTTTAATTTGTTCTTACGTGGTTTTCCAGATGTAGTGACGACAACATTAAAGTTTAAAGAAGAAAATTCTAACATTTAAACCGACTAAACAATAACATAGTAAACTTGCATAATTAAACAGCAACTAAAAATGATAGGTTTTACTAAATCTTTTCCTGTGCAATTATTACTAGCATTGGAGACAAGGATAATAGTTTTTTTGAAAGAGAAAAGAACAGGCTTTGAAGTAAGCCTAAAAGCGTTTAACTAGAAATAGTATTTCGAAAGTTATTAAGCACAAAAGATGAATTGCGTTTATTTTGATACACCCTGTATATTTACCATTTTTTTGTACTGTATGCAATTTATATACGATTAAATTAAGCATTAAATAGAATGCAAATATATGTTGTTTTATATACTGTCTGTTGAAGTGAGCTGATACAGACAATTGAGTTGTGAAAGCATATATGAACATTCAAAACTATGTTTTTGTTTGTTAGATACTGTATAGTTATTAATAATTAACGTACCACTAATATGTTTCTGTTTATGGCAACAATATACATTTTGCTTTTAATATTATAATAGTATGTAGTGTTTCCATCAAATTATTAGTCTGTAGACAATTCCGTGAACCGGCAGTTGTTTATTTTGTCTTGGAGTCTCATACAAATGCCTGTTCGCAGGCTACATGTCGGAAATTCCCACAGCCCTGCAAGCACTATACAATAGCCCAGCTAGTCGTACAGCCCTGCAAGGAAGCCAGATGGGTACATTGCTCTGCAAGTCCCACAGCCCTGTAACCTAGACCAGTCAGCTACATGGCCGCGCATGGATTTCCTATCCCCGAGTGTAAATACGTAGCGGGAATTAGGCAAAGGCCTAAATACCAAGACAACGCATGGGCAAGGGGAATATATACAAGGAATATATACCAATTCCTGGGAAAATTATCAATAATGTATTCATGTCGCCATGTAATTTATCTATTGAAAATATAAGAATAACTAACTGTAAAATTAGTTGAGCTCTGTATACTGTATATACTATGATATCAAGCATTTTATGAACACATTTAATATCTACATTTAATAGGTCCACAGATTGTAGAAAATAAACAAAAATAACGTGATATATTTAATAATAAACCTACCTCGCTCTCGACAGGAATAATTTGGTTTTGAAGCATAAATGATTCCAACGTATTGACCAGAGCATTTTCGCCCAAATTCAAAAATTTACTCAAACATCGATAGTAGCCACGATTTGAACTTCCAGGAGGATCGTATCGAAGACTCAATCCTTGTTTAGAGGCTTCAAACAAACATGAAATTCTTCTGTTGAACATCTGTTGAATTATTTATAGCATGGTTCAAATGTATTCAGATATTTAAATATATTTAAATGATTCTATTGGCAATTGTTGAAATAGTTGAATAAAAACATGGAACATACCTTTAGAGTAAAAGGGAACTAATTCTTTCAAATAAAGAGGTTAGGATTGATAAATGATTTGAGCGGTAGTAGTAATATAGGGGCTGTTCGACCCTCATTTTTGAGGTGGTGTATGATGTGGTTTGAGGTGGTGTGAGATGGTGTGAGGTGGTGGAGTTTGAGGTGGTGGAGTTTGCGGTGGTGGGTGTCCACCACCTCATTTATAATTAATACTCGTACAAATGAGGAATAATGACGTCACACATTAACATACGTCATAATTATATGCAATGATGTCACGCGGACGAGCTTAAACACGATGGGGCGAAACTTGCTGACTACGCATTTTTAGCGTCTCCCCACGTGTATGGTACAATAGAGGTATTAATCTTGGTTTGCTATGATTGGTTTGTGTCCCTTGCATGGCAAAATTGTTATCGAAATTAATATATAGCAGAGTTATAGCCGTATCTTTGGTCGGAAGAGATAAATTTCCACATGTATATTGAAGGATTTTTCGTATGTTCCATAGCGAGGAATCTGTTCGTCACAAAAATCAAAACATATTTTAAACTAAGCAGTTGCTAATCCTGGGCTGTCAACGTTGTTGCTATGAGCAATATTTGCATGTTGTTCAACAATATTTAGCAATCCTCCTACATACATATATACTGTTAAGATGATCATAAGAAAGCTTATCAAGAGTAGAAGTTAGAATTAGAACAATGTATTATTTTTTTATACTATCGTCTGTTATTTGAATCAATAAACATGTTTTAAACTTTGCATATTTGCGTTGTTTTGCGTTACTAAGTCATTAGGAGGCGTGTAGGTAATTAAGGGGATTAAGGTAATACGAATTTGCCGAAATAAGTGTATCCCGATGGATAGATAGGGATTATTTTTAACGCCAGTATATACCTTAAAATCAGGCGCGTGGCTTTGCGGGTGCATGCATATATTAAAGTACAACATATTTGTACACGGTTCAGGCGGCCGGGTTAGACAAATCGCGTGGGCGGAAAGAGCGGGCTTTGCAGGTAAATGTTTGCACAATATTTCAGTTTTAGAATACATTTATTTCTTCAGAATGTTTTACAAAATTTAGTAAGGTCTACTTCTAAGAGCGTAACGTCTAGGTGTTTTTGCTATTTTTAAAGAGTTCTCATATTTTTGTCTATCTTCTGGGGATAACTTATATTTCGGTCTATCGCTCAATATAAAACGTTCATCATCCTCTCTTGCTTCCGGAGTCATTCGCGCTAGGTAACGTTCGGTCTAATCTGCTGCGTCGACCCAATTGTGAAAAAAATTTCGCTTGGGTTTTGGCCGTTCCTCTTCTGTTGGTGGTGGTGTAAGGAAATTAGGTTTAGGAGTAGCAGGCACTGGTGGTGCTATCTCAACGAATTCATTGGGTGGTGGTATTTCTGCAGGCACTAGTGGAGTTGTCTGAACAGGAGCTTGAGCTGGGACATCCATCTTATTTTTGAATGTGAGAAACTGATTTAGTTGATCAGAGTATAATTTGCTTTTTTCCACGGTGAATCCATGATTTCTTTCATTCGCTGCTCGGCATCATACATCGCATTTACAAGTGGTGGTTGTCGATACGACTGTTTTTGTATAAACTTTTCAATCTCAACGAGAAGTATGTTGGTCTTGAGTCGTTGTTGATCATCTGCTGTTCGCTTTAATTCCAGCATCAAATACCCGTGAGGTCGGCACGTAGCATCTTCATAACTCCTCATAAATTCTTGTACATTTACCCGCTCCTTTTTTAATTACCCGCTCCTTTTACCCGCGACTCGCTCCTCTTCCCCGCTCCCCGCTCCAATCAGATACTCCCATTTGCGATCAAATTCTGTTCACATTTCTTGTTTTTTTTTCAATAGCGTGGAGTAGCGATTCTCCGATTGGTTAATTCACGATTGTTGTGAGAACTGCACATTTCATCAGTAATTTTAGTTAAGTTTACCCTCGTTTCACTCTAGTAATTTTATAAAACAATTACCAAAAGTTTTCCCGAGCAGGATAGCATCATCCATGCACTTGAGATGTTTCACGCTTTCCGAAAGTCTCGCAACATCCCGCTTGCATGGATCACGCAATCCTGCACGGAAAACCATTCGGTATTCCTTTATTATATATGCACCTCATTGCCAAACTTGACATATCATGTCCAACCCATTGCATTAAATTAATGGACGTTTTTTTCCCGTGCTTAAACTCTATATGTCTTTGTCTGACAAAAGCAGATCTTGAAAGAACGTTTAATTCTTACATTATTCCACATTGTTTCATGTATTTTGTTGTATCTGCTGTAGTTTTGTGTATATTTGCAAACCTATTCACCACCCCCAACCCCCCCCCGTTTATTTTTTGTTACATAATCCCTCTTACGTTTTGGTATAAAAGCTTGTGCCTTTTCCGGCTTCCCACTAGTAACCCTGCCTCGTACCCAGGCGCTTTAAATAATTATACATGAAGTATTCAGGCATGCGACGCGCGAAGGGGCTGTTGGGAAGAGTGCTTCCTTGGGGAGCGCCTGGCAGTTCTTGCATACTGTCATGGCGGACAAAATGATTGACGAAGCTGTCGAAGCAGAGATTTCCACAAATCCTTTCAATTATGGACGAAGACCAGTTCACATGGCATTTTTAAACAAAAAATTGCCATGCCCGCATATATTTTGTGCGCAGAACGTTGCATACTTTGAGGAAAGTGTAATTGAACATCACTGGCGAGTAATTCACAACAAGAAACTCAATACTGATGACATGCATAATGCGCGTAAAATCATGAGAAAGATTCACGGCGAGGAAACCCTTCGATTCCTTGGTGAATTATTTTGTATGCGATCTACTAAGGTATATGAATTTTTAATTTTAAAATGATTTGAATTGCAGATGTGAATAATGATTTTGCCTCATTATGCAAATATGTTCATACTAAACAAAAATTGCTTTCCTTCGTTTAGTCGAATGATCTGTTTAAGAAATTCGTTGTGAAGACTACTGGCATACAAATAGATGCCTATACAAAAACCGCTACTGAGGCTGCGCATGCGAAGTTTATCAGCATCTACTTGCTATATCGTGGCAAACTTCAAGAATTTTCGTCTGGTGCTAAATCAGAAATGGTCGAGGTAGAGGGACCAACCGACGATTTACAAGCCCGATTTCTTGCTTGGTTTACCACTCGAAACGGAAAACAACAAATAATCTTGCAGTCACAATATGTGAAGCGGGCAAGTTCTATTATTGTGTTATTAGGGTAAGAACAATTCTATTTATTGTATGTTTTATTTCTATTAAGTAAACGTATTGGCTTATTGCATTTTTTAATCCCCCCCCCCCATGTGGAGGACTTCCATTTTTGGATCTCCTTCCTTGGAATTCTGCAGATGTTGATGAATTCTCTTCCCACCCCATGGAATTCTGCAGATTTTTTACAAATTTCCAGCTACTGTACCCCATGGAATTTCCACAGATTTTTAATGAATTTCTACTCATCCTTGGAATTTCCATCGATGGTTTTTGACCTATTCGCTGGAATTTCCCCATTTTTTGTTTACTAGGTAACTACTGTATCCCTTGGAACATCCCGTGGAATGCCCCTGTCCCCCCCCCCCCACCTTTATGGAAAATTGATGAATTTTTATGAAGAGGGCTAAAAACAGCCATATAATATAATCCAGACAGTTTTGCTCTTCAATCAAGATATAGCATGGTTTCTCATGAAATTTGGATAAACATGCACTCGTAAGTTTTTCAAACACCCTGTATATCACGAGCCCTAATTTTGTGGTCTTTGAAAAACTCACTCGTGTATGTTATATCCAAATTGCACTCGAAGCCATGCTATTACCTATGCTTACAATCAGAAAAAATGAAGCAAGGTTTCCAACCATTGTGAACAAGTCATCTTCAATGGCATGAAATAGTCTTGCTACCCTATCTATCTTGTCTGTGTGCTGCAAACAAATCGATCTTTATTTAGATATATATATTATATATATATATATATATATATATATATATATATATATATATATATATATATATATATATATATATATATATATATATATATATATATATATATATTGACACTCTTTTATATTGGTCACCCTTATATGTTCACAACAATTATGACTAAATTGCAACCAAGCTTAATCTGTTCAACTTGTAATCATTGTGCAATTGTCATTTCCTTTGCCAAATGAATAAAGGAACTGGTGTAAGTGGATTGTTAACATACTGATTCTGTTCTAGGCATTTCTACCAGTGAATTCTTCATTAAATGTGACACCAACATCATCATTAAATGTGACAAATACGACAATGGGTGAATTATGCAGTGTGTCTGGTGATCCTGTTAAAGATATTTTGCAGCAGATTTTTGGGCACCAATCGTTTCGAAAGGGGCAAGAAGAAGCCATAACAACAATAATGAAAGGATTAGATACTCTCCTTGTTATGCCTACTGGTGGAGGTAAAACATTATGTTATGCAATTCCTGCTGTAATATCGAAAGGGATCACCATAGTCGTAACCCCATTATTGGCTTTAATGGATGACCAAGTAAAGAGGTTAAAGCAAAAAATGTCTGTTTGCTACATTAACTCAATGATGCCAGAAGATGAGAAAGATATTGTTCTTCACTGTCTTTCTCAAAAGGATATCCCCTATGATATACTGTTCATTACTCCTGAAGCATTGCTTGCCCCTCAACTTCAAGCAATTGTAAAGAGAATGTCAGAGGCAGGAACATTATCAAGAATTGTTGTGGATGAAGCCCATTGTGTGGACACATGGGGGAATGACTTCAGACCAAGTTATTCAAACCTTTCTATTTTTAAAGAACATAATGTTCAAATAGTTGCATTTACTGGAACTGCAACTGAAGTTACTGCTCAGCGTATTATTGATAGCCTAAAACTTGCTAATCCAACCATATTGAGAATGTCTTTGGATAGACCAAATTTGGTTTTTAAAGTTTTAGAAAAAAAGGAAACAAAGTCTATGGAATGTGTCTGAAATGGTTATTAACGAATTTCGTGGACTATGTGGAATAGTATATTGTTTCTCAACACGCGATACCTTAGACATGGCGTATCACTTAAAACAAAGGGGAGTAAAAGCAGTCTATTATCATGGACAGTTGGACTTGTTCGAACGAAATAATAATGCTACCACATGGCTAGAAGGTCGGTCAGATGTAATGTGTGTGACAAATGCATTCGGCATGGGAATCGATAAAAGAGATGTTCGCTTTGTTATTCATCATTCAATGCCCAAGTCAAATGAGGAGTATTTTCAAGAAGCTGGGAGAGCTGGAAGGGATGGGAGTTCATCATCTTGCATCTTGCTATTCAGGTTCCAGGACAGAGGAAAGCTCCTTAAGCACATCAGTGAAATTGAAGATGATGCTCACAAATTAAATGCAAAAAAACGGCTGGATGAGATAACAAAGTATTGTGTTGACAACAAATGCAGAAAACAATCAATGCTTAATTATTTTGGTCAGACAAGCCAGACTGGTCTATGCCAAATGTGCGATGTGTGTCTCAACAGCTTGGACAGTTCGACATCTCAAGATGTGACCTCCCATGCAATGGATCTCATTAACTGTATTATTGAAATCCTTGGTGTCCTAGCTAAAGTTTCCCCAAAGTGTATCATCAAAGTGTATCGTGGTCACAGAACAAAAGATATTGTTGAAAAGGGGTTGCATACACTGCCATCTTTTGGAAAGGGTAAAGCTATTTTCAAGAATGATAAGGGTGCATTTAAACTTATTCACGTATTGATTGCAATGGGATTTTTATCAGAAAATTTGCACAATGCAAAAGATGCTAATATGACACCATTTATAACTGTAGAAGACCATTCGGATCTTTCAAATGGAATAAGAACTATAGTTATGTGAGTATTAATTAAGGCTAATTTCCACTCAGGAAGATTATCTGTGGATTGGAACAGACAAGAAAGATTTTCCTTGTCTTGTGAGCTCTGGGTTGGAACTAATGACTTTAACACAAAGAAAAATTTTCTTGTCCGTTCCAATCCACGTATAATTTTCCTGAGTGGAAATTAGCCTTTAGAGGTGTGCATCGGATCGGACGTTTATGATCCGACAATTGCTTAATGTTAAAAATCCGATCCGAAATTGTCTAATTCGAATCCGATCTGAGTTTTGATAAAGAATTACAATCCGATCCGACGAATTCTTTAATAAAATAAATTTCTCATTCCAGTTGAAATATTTAACCAAATAAATATAAATATAAAAACAAGAAATACATGTCAAGAAGCTGACAAAGTGACGTCCAATTGAAGTATCAAACGAATAATGCAGCGACAACCGTGATAATGCTTTGATAAATTCATGGTAATTAATTATTGCAATAATGTGTGAATAATTAATTCATTTTATTTCGGATATCGAAGTCCAATCTGATCCGACTGTGAAACAACTTTATCAATCCGATCCGGTTGCGAAATCCGAACGAATCGGATTTGCACACCTCTAGTGAGTATAATCATGTGTATGATTGCATGTGTTCTCTGGTGGCAAAGTTTGCCATGACAACTGCCACATTCTGGTAATTATATGCTAATAAATCTGCATCCAAGGCCCCAATTACACAATACCAGATTCACATCACAGCGAGGTGAGCTACATCAACTATGATGCTTTTCCTTACATGGCCTCCTTACAACGTTTCATAATTATACAACTTTTTACAAGTTTTAGACTACTATATTTCTGTTATATTATCATAATTTTGAGAGATAAACTCCCCTTGAAACTCTAAAATTTGATGATGCTCCAATGCAAATCCGGTATCGTGTAACTGGGGCCTAAATAGGTTAAAGACAATACACTACTGTATGTGACTCGGTGTCTGAAATTTGCAGTATCCCGATATTCACAGGATACTAACATTTGGTTTTGCATACCAAACTGTGAATGACTTATATCCCGACTGGATATCACAAAAATTTCAAATACTACGATAATGCTGAATGTCTCCAGTGGTTTCCTTATAGCTTTGAAATTATGAGTACCCAATATGCCTTCTAGAAATTAACCAGCCTTGAACTTGTTGGTCTATTTGTCAACTGTTCATTCTCCTGTTGTTGTTGTAATTTATAACAATGAGAGACATGTACTGTATATTTACTTTGATGGTTCAGTGATGCCAAAGTTTATGGTAACCAGTATCAAGCAGTGGGATACCAAAATTTGAATGCTGGTATCCCAGTGGCATACTGAAAAATATGTTAAATTTCAGACCATTCTATGTCTAGCTTTGCCATGCTAATTCATTAGCTTTTCTGGCACATTATGTCAACCATAATAAGTCCTGTGCCATGGGTTCATGGCTGATGAAGGTACAGGTATAAAACTCATCCTAATTAGTATTCTTTATACCCTTTATATAATGCTCATCCTTATGAGACGGCATCTATTGTTCTCGTGTTTGACGCCATTTAAAACACTTGTGTTACACACTCACATTGTAAATTAGGAAATTTAAAATATGATAAAACACTCGTGCTCATGTTTTAAATAGTAACATATATTGGTCCAATATCATAATGTTGAAATATCTATTTGATTTATTGTTACATATATTTCAAAAGAAATAAGATAAAGTACCTGTACATCCGCTACTTCCTTTTTCAAGATAAACTTGCTACTTGCATTAACATTTTGGAAGTAGAGATTTAAGTGTATATAGACATGTAAATTCATCAGTTACTTTCTGGTTGTAGTATAGTAGTACATGTTATATTTAATATTGTATTTGATATCTTACTGTAGTTTTTTAATTGTTTCCTTTATTTGTAAAATTATGTTGCACACGTTCCTCGTGGAAATAAATATAAATAAAGTTTATAAATTTACCTACTGTATCCCCTTTGAAAATGCTTATTAAAGTTTAACAGTTTTAGGAGAATCTATATACAGAAAAACTATCACCACTAAATTAAAAGTATTAAAACCCCCAAATGAAACAACTGTAATTTGTTAGCCTTGGCTAGTTAATTGTATAACAGAGTTCAGTACTTTGAATGTCTTGACAAGGGTACATGTATGTGACAATTTGAATTAGTTTTACATCAGGCTAGAAATAGGAAAAACATATGGCCTGCCAAACTATTTTATGTTGGCAGGTCATA